GCAAAGCAGTGAACAACAGACCAAGACTCTTGATTCTCTTCAACCGATTGACTTCTCGTGAAGCTCGTAGCGTCCCGAAAAGCGTAGCGTTCCTATACAAGTTGGTCGCAGTAATTATGCGACTCTTTGAAATTGGACTTCTTCACGACTTTGTAATTTAGCGAAAAGTTAAATTTTTTTTAATATGAGGAATCAGGTATTTTAAAATTCTATATTTTTATACTTTTCAATTTGTATGTTTGAGATGCGTAAGATTAATTATATGATGTAATATTAATCGTATAAAAAATATTTCAAAGAATCAGTTTGAAAAATAACAAAGATATTAATGTATATCGACTCTATAATTTCATTTTTTTTTAATTTCTATAAATTGAAATATGTATAATATGTTTAAAAAAAAGAGATATTTTTTGATCTTTTGTCATCTTTCGATTTGTGACACATTTTTGTGTCTAGAATGTTTTATCGAGATGTTTATAATGATAATCTAGTGTATAGCTTGTGACATTCAATAAATGTTAAGTGCGATAAAATTATCTATATTTTTTTGTTTTCTGTGTTTTATCAAATGTAATAATTATATGGATTTTGTTGTGAATTATTAGTGCGTTTTGACGTAAAGACGCCGAGAAATAATAAATATCCTATTGAATATTCGTTACAAAAGTCAATATTGAATAACTTTATTTGCACATGACCAAGATTTAAAATAGAAAATGTATTCTGCACATTTATTATTTAAAGTTCTCAGCATTTGGAGATCTCTTGAAAGTATTTTTCAAGCTTTTATGAAAGGCAAAGCTAACTATTTAAATCAGCCCCCGCCTCTCTCTCTTTATAGAAACCATTCATAAAAATCAATTAAAGCTCACTTAAACAGCAATTAATTTTGATTGTTTGTAAAACGGATTTTAGCCGGATGAAATGAAATAGGCGACTGCCGAACGGAGGGAGAAGAAAAACGGAAAGAAAAAAAAAAAAAAAAATCGGTAATTGTTAAAATATTCGTTCGGAGGGATCGAACGAACCGAGTTGGTACGAATCGTTCGATCGTAGGAACGTAGAAATCCGTGTATGCCAGTCGAGAGAAACGAAACGCGGAGAGGCGTCGTGCGCGGGAGGAAATGCAACGCGTATATAAGGGAGGAGAAAGGGAAACCTAAGCCGCCAGAAATAGCATCCCTTCCCGCATGATGCAGCCAGACTTTCTGCATGCGCCTCTGGTCGTTTCTAGTCGCATGCACCGTTGGCTGCCTTGCCTACGTCATACATTTGCCCGTCGCAGCACGTTGCGGCGTGCGGCAACTCGGTCGTCCTACACGAGATTCATTCTCGTTCTTCGATTTTTTTTCTCTTACCTTCCACGTGACGGCGAGAGCGGCGAAGCCATAACGTAGTTCCAATCGCGTCACTTTGAATCTCTTCCCCCTCCCGCCATACGCCTCACGCTCATTATTTCACTTTTATCCCATAAGCGAAGGAAGGACGAGAGGAAGGATGACTGGCATAGATCCAGTTTTCTCCCCTGTATATTTCGCGACGTCTCGCGTATTTTCATCCTTTTTTCCCCCGTCTATTAGATATCGGGCCCGCTATTATTACGTCGCCTTTCATCGTTCGTTATAATATTTTTGTTACATGCTACCCACGTGGCTCATGCGCCTCGCAGCTAGTGCACTCGGCGTCCCACGCCTTCCATTCTTGGCCTTCTGTTCCGTTCTTCGCTTTCTGTGCGCAGCAGCAAAGACGTATAAAGGGACAATGTAATTTTAGTTTTATTTAACGCGTTATTTGTAAAACGTAATACACGCCACGTAGTTTCTTCGGCCGCAATTAACTCTCGCCCTACTTTTCGAGCCGCTCGCTGTTCCAACAGTCGCGTAAATTTTTTTTTTTTGTCGTTTAAAGTTTATTCATTCTGTACACTTGACGAGAATTATTCAGAGTTTAAAGTTTATCTTTTGTGTATTTGGTGATGAATATATACGAAAAAATTCCATATATAATGTGAAGGTAAAAACGTTAAATAATATCGCATGGATTCGCATAATCCATGCGACGTTATTTAACGTTTTTACCTTCACTTTTGGAATTTCTTCATCGTATATATTCATCGCCAAATACGCCATACACGGTAAAAAACATTTTGTTGTATTAAATTGTGTTAAAATCGGTCCTTGTTAAAATTTTTGTGTTAAATAATCTACATATTTATATGTAAATTTAACACATATCTACTATGTTAACTGACCATATCAAATGTAAAATTATTAAAATGATTTAAGAAATGTGTTAAAATAACACAATTCGTACGTATTTATTCAATATAAAAAAATTTTGTTAAAATTTACACAAAAAAATGTTGGTTTTACTCTGTAACAGGAGTGGGGATGACTTGTTATTACTCTTTGTATGGTTTCGGCACAGTCTCGAATTTTGACGCGTCTCGACATGTTATTTTATCATAAAAATTATGTTAATTGTAACACACAATTAACTTCAAATTAAGATCAAGAGTACATTTCTTTTTTATTGAAATATTAATTTAGTGTCGATGTTACTATTTAACATATCCATATTATGTTAAATTAACACAAAATTTTAAGTGGACCGTTTGGGATATGCGATTTATGTTAAATTCAACACATTTTTTTCCAACAGTGTACACAAAAGATGACATTTAAACTCTGAATAATTCTCGATAATTTTAATAAACGTTTCACATGATGTTTGAAATTGTTTCTACCTTTGTCCTCGATTTACTGACGATTTAATTTTACATCTTTCATATTTTGCGTATTTTTAGAATCCTCTCGCTCAAAGCAGACCGTTACGATTGTTTTAATTAATGGTGGATTGTCTGGCCAATTTAACGACTGAAAACTTAGCCATCGATCTCGTGTTAAGTGTGGGCGCGGTTCATCCGCTTCCTTCGCTGCATACACGACATATTTCTATCGATATTGCTACACATTCTTCGCTCTTTAGAATAGCATTTGAAATACACACGTTTTATGAAAATATCTATTTCGTAAATACCAATTCCTCAAACGAAAATATAATCCAATAATGGAATATATTTTCCATTATTTGATTCGAGACTTATATAAAATTCATTTCCCATCACGATTTACATTAGCAGATATCGAATTTTCGCAAACATTATCGTTGGCGTTTTACTATAAAATAACAATAATATTATATGCAATAGTAAAAGAATCATTATCACACATCGCGATACAGATACAATCAACTCCATGATTTAGATATAATTTAATTACGTATGATTATCATTGAAAATTTCACACGTAAACCGCAATCTCAGAACGAAAATATTTGTCTCGGATCTCATTTATACGCAATGCATTCATTACTTTTACACGAAATGTAAGCTCACTGCGATATAATAAGCGAGAGAAACGCTTTGGCATTGATTTTTCCGATAAGCTATTAATGTGAGTCGTGAATGAGCCATTGGCTAATTTAATTTTGTTCGCATTCGAGATAGATATAATCACGTCTGACCGATTAATTACTCAGCGTAATCGATAAGATATCCAGGCCGACAAATCCAACGCAAAAATAAATGTTGTTTTACGCGATTTCGTAACGTCGCAGTATGCATCGCCATGTATTCCTTTCTGTTTTCTTAATTAACATACATAATTTATATTATGCAATCTATATATAATTCTGAAGCAATTAAATGTATTATATAACTCTTTCTTTGTCAAGATTTTCAGCGTAAAATAAATCATATTGAATTTTACAGAAGCATACCTTAGATAAGATTTAAGTCGAGTCTCTCCGTTCTAATTCTGCTTCTGAAGGAAACAGAAAATTGCTCAAGTTTCACTTAAATCCAATTAAATTTATAAAAACCATCTTATAAATCCACAAAGGAGACTAAATACATTCGGTAATATTCAATTATTAAATTCCTCCGATATGTGCGACGGACTTTAACGATTTACACGATTACATCGTAAAGGACAACCGTGTGTTAATCATTGAAGTTGCGAAGAAATTTGACCGACTGAGCGTTTCTCAAACATCTCGCGTGTATCGGCAAGCTTTATCTTATTTTTTTATTACATGCAGCATCCCGAAATAATAACGACATCGATACCGCCGCGTGTCGCCATGTGTCTCACGTCTCGCATCATACGTGGGGTCTCTTTATTTTTTTTCTTCGGCGAGATTATCTGAGCGGTGTGCGCTTTGTGCACGTTGACTCATTCCTCAACAAGCGTATCCTCGACATTGTCCGACAATTGCAATTTCCATACGACAATTTCTAGCCGCCTAAACACCTGGCTCACGCGGCGTTTCATTAACGAACGGCTTTGTTAACGACTTCGTTAGTCAATTATTTATCGGCGCGATCCAAGATAAAACGTATCGCTACATTGTCGTCGTTGCGTTCATAAATGTTACATAACGATGTACGTTACGTTACGACGTGCGACGTACCCTCGCTCCCGCGATATGCGAAACGTATCGACGTATCGAATTACGCGCATTTCGGTCAAACATATGTGCGCGATTCATACGTAATTGCACGCGCGCGTGACGTAAGCATTAAGCATAAATTTCGGTGACGAGAGATATTAGTCCCAACATCCCGTGACACTAAATCGATATTAAACTTATGCGCTACGTAGCGATCGAGATTACGATTATCTTCCGCTTCGACGGGACACGAGTTCAAAGGAACCGAGAAAAAAAACATCTCGTGTCACGAGATAAATCCCGCATCTCGTTAGAAAAACGGAAAAAAAATCTGCGTCCTCTACAATTTCCATTGATTCCGTCCATTAATTTGTGTCTGTCGACTTCTTTCTAGTCTTTTTGTTTTTATTGTACATCTCACTAGGAGTAAGACTCGGCGACAAACAACTTGCACGGTGCCTGATGTCAATGTGAAATTTATCTTATCACTCGATGACTCGAGACATCGCTTGCCGTGAATGCAGGACGCGAATGACGCTAAGATGATGCTTGCATTCATCGATAAAATTGACTATTGAAATTTCTATCTTATGTGTGATCCGCTTACCTGAAATGTCGGATACAGAGAAACTCTTGTCATCTATAACAAATAAATTTTCAAAAAGTATGTTTGTTGATTAAAAAAACGCAAATAAGATAATTCTTTGTCCATCACACTTCGTATTTATCATTTTCAGTCGATATAATTGCGAAGAAGAAAAAAATTACCAAAGATTATCATATTATATCGAAATGAAAACTGTTAATTTGTTAAATGTACGTCGTACAATTTTTACATATTGGTTTTTAATTCGCTTTTTTGGTAAAAAAATGATAAATAATATTGAGAGACGCGAACTTTACTTTAAAAGAGCATGGTGTTCTTAACGGCATGGGTCACGCTTTGGACCCTGATAAAAATGTCGAAGCATGTTCCCACAATCTCGGATGGCTCCATCAATCTGGCACTTGTTTTTTAGCTCACTTTATTATGCGAGCGAAATAAATAGATTGTATCGTGGCTTATCGTGTATTCGCAAAACAGTTTACATCCGCTAGGTCGTATGGACGATGTCTGATATGAATTAAAAATCTCCAACGCGGCTGCTACGCAAAGTTCAGGCGCTTATGAAGAACAAAAAAAAAACACAAATTGCAATCACAAAGTGATAATGCTACTCAATGAATTCGGTTTCACAATCGCGTATTCGATGAATCGTAACTTATCTCGCGATATTCTCGGATCCCCCGACGCTGCGCTCTCGTTGATTTGTTCTTCCTCCTCGACGGTTGCTGCGTGGCCCGAATAGATTTACATGTCTGAAAGGACCATTATCGAGAATATACACCTGAAACTCTATTTTTGCTGCGGCGAATAACGAGTCGTGCGTGCCCCGCTCCTGAAATTCCGTGACAACGGACATTTTTCGCAAAAGTTGCCGCAAGGATTCTATCCTTATTTTTCATCTTGTAACAGCGTGAATTCTTTCGCGTAAATGCGTCAAGAACCAAATGTAATACAGAATTAACAATTTTTTTTTAAATAATAATCATAATAGGCTTCAAAAATAAAATTTAAGTTGAAAAAAAAGTATATAGGCTGATGCTGATAGGATGAGCCGAGCTGGATGTACGCGTGCTTATTATTATTCAGTTATGAAATAAAAGTACATAAGCATTAATTTCTTTTAAGTTTAAAATACAAAAGTCAAAAGTTCCGCTACTGATTTGTAATCCGGATTGCGATCTGTTTAAATTCACAACGATACCATCGTTCCCCGACCGTATCGGCCTTATTCTCCGAGATAAAAATTTGCGTGGAGACTCGCGAGGAAGGTTGCAGTCAGTGTCGGCGGAGAA